CTGAGTTTTGAAATAATTTTGTTTAGTTAGCAATTAAAAGGGCTATAACACGTGCGAATCTAAAGAGGAAGTCAATACACTTAAAAGGGGAAGAGAAGGATTTGCGTTAAGAAATTGAATAAAAAGAAAGTTGATAAATTTATCATCACACACACACACATGTATGTGTGTGTATGTGTATGAATGTTCCTTGAATAGAGAACTATTCATCCCGACGTAGCTTCTTTTCTCGATCCAAACTTTTTTTTTCCGTGCGCAGTTATGATCACGCTGTGATTTTTCAAATGTTGGTAACTGCAGATTTTGTTTAGAAAAATTTTCCTTGCATATCTCCGATTGAATAGTCCACCTTCAATGAGGATAAAATGACAATCAAATAATTGAGAGAAAGAATATTGTTTTATTCTCATTCGAAAATGTTTTGTTTTTTTATGGAATTCGTCCTTTTTACCTATAAATTTCAGGATACTGCGTAGATGGAAATGTCTGTTCAGCCCGAAGCGCTCATGTGAATGTGAGGAAAGGGAATAAAAAGAAAAATGATAACCGGAAGAGCTGTTAAGAGGCTAGAGATAGAAAGGAGGAACATCAGACGATGCCTCTAAGGTCCGTTCTACTATTGTTCTGGTTTTTCAAGGGGTGGTTTTAAGAGTTTTGTCTGTATCTTGAACCGGTGGATTCCTAGAAGCGTCAGTAGGAAGGGAAGAGAATTTAGGGAAAGATAAATGTTTATCTGGTTGGAGGCTTAGTGGTTGATTTCTAGGAAGGTGAAAGAATGGTATTTGAGAGGGAAGTTCAGGAATGCTGTCTTTCTGTATCCTAATAGGCATCTGTAAAATTGAAAAACTGAAGGGAAAAAAAGATATGTGGAAGGGAAATTTCAGTTCACTATAAGTAGATTTTCATTTTCTCAAGAGTTCACTATAAAAGCATTTAAAATAACATTAGTGAAATAATAGTTAAGTTAGTACCAGTTGAAAAGAGCACTACACCTAGAGTTCACACTACCCTTGGTTCATTGTAGCGAGGTTCAACTGCAAAATGACTGTGGCCAAATGAACAGGTAAGAGAACATCAAGGCTTTAACATAGATATCAAACACACAAAAACTGGGTGTATAAATTATATATAATGATTCAGAACACGTGGAACGAACTTTAAGCTGTGATGATGTCTTCTACGACAGAATTTCTTTGTATTAGAATGTACAGGTGCAAGAGTGCCGAGTTTGAGGCCCCTACACAAGAAACAAATAGGAAAGGATTCGTTAATAGTTACTTACAACATCGTTAATAAGTGTTTCTTTACAGCAATGTTAATTAAAAAACATAAATTACTCAAAATTACATGAACGAAGAGTGGTACATACTTGGCAGCGTCAATGAAGTGATTGATGTACAATTTTAAAGATGTCTTGTATTTCTAGTTCACTTGCAGTCAAAGAGATATGCAAATAAGGAAGACCTCAATAATGTCAACTGGATGTGTCTCATTGTGAACCTTCAATTTCCTTGATAAGAACTTGATAAGGACTTGATACTGCTTGATCACAATGCTATAATAACCTGTTATTGGTCGCAATAACCGAGTAGTCATAATCGTGAGCTCGCTGTCGGTGTTGTTTTCGTCGAATCGGGGACTTGAGTCCTGATGTGACTAAAAACTAGAATTGTAATGGGGCTGATGTAAGTTAAATCTGTACAGGCTCCAAGTCCTCTCGTTGGTTTGGTATTGAGATTTGAGAGGAAAGGGGGAAGCTCAGGTGGCATCCTCATCATTTGACCAAAGTTCAAAATTACGAGGTCCTTCGCCAATGGCCTTGGTATAGCTTCAAGTGCGACATTGATAATAAAGGTCAATCAATCAATCAATCAAAAAACACCTGTCGGTGTTGTTGTTCGTGTACAATATTTCTTCCTTCTCACATGCGTTTATGACTCAATACATAATTTGTGCCCATAGATTCCTATTAAATTCTTTAATTGTAGCCTTGGTCTCTAAATTTATTATATGTATTCTGGATCACTCAGTGTACTGGTTATGAATCAAAGATTTATAGTTATTTTAATTTCAATTTCGGGAATACACTCACACACATTCTACGTTTTAATCTTGACATAGCTTAGAACTCTTTGGTAATCTTTTTTCAAATAAATAATTTAAGGTAAACGTAGGCTCTTTAAAAGTAATCCTATTCAACACATACATTCTCAACAACAACAAAAGATTTCATGGATCAAATGATTCTTGGAGTATCTAGTACACAAACTTAAGAATTTGCATTACTTTGAAGCTCCATCTAATTTTTTGATTGATTGCTTGTTAACCTAGCATTTAGAATCAACACGGCGACTATTGGTGATGAACCTCATAATTTTATCGAGGATGACACCCTGAGCTGGCACCTTCCACTCCAAACTTCCATATCGTGTGAACTAGGGACCTTGACCAGATTTAACATGCATCAGCCCCGCGAAACGGCGGGTCTTTAATGGCATCAGGATTCGAACCCACGACTCGACGAAACAACGCAGGCCGCGAGTTCCGCGACCATGACCACTAGGCCACCGCGGCCACTAAACTCCAAACAAAGATAGCTCTGAACAACAAATTAGTTTGAAAATTGATAATATGTGTGGTAGACTCGAATACAATCGATATAGTTAAGAATTATTTTGTTCCAGAAAAAAAAAGTGTTAAGAGAAAGCTTTCAGAAGATCATTCACCAACATAAAGCACTTTTCATACTTTACAGTTTAACAAATATTAAGGGAGTGTTTACGTTCATGGCAATTTCTCTTAGAATTGAAAAGTCTTTTTTATTACTTTAATAAGAATCTTTTTTCAAACGTGTAATATCCACTTTTGATGCGTGTGGTACTAAATGTTTATTAATAACTTTTAAAGTGCAAGAGTTTCCTATTTGTTTTATCTACACATCATTTTTCTTCATTTTTTTTAACCAATGATCTAAAGAAATTTATGAGTGTTTCGAAATTTAATCGAAGCTTTACTACAATTATTTTTATTAGAGATTAAGGATCTGGTCATTTTATTGGCTGATTTCCGAATACTGCATTTTACAGTGTCAATTTAAAACGACATATAATTCTGAAACATTTACAATTACTGAAACTTTGAAAGGAAACTATGGATAAAAAAATCTTTTGTGTTTTATATTTACTGATATAAGAGAAAAAAATTATGTGTTATTTTATCTTTAGTTATCCATTACCTGAGACAATTATCTTCTATAATTACTATGGTTTATATCGAAGATTAAGTTTCGCTTATTGTTACTATACTGAAATTTTTTCTGTAACAAATTAGAACAATAAAACATGATTAATAAATCACGTATTATTATCATCTTTTGTTAGAATCTACGCCTCCTCCCTGCTGTCTGTGGCATCCCACCTGCCACCTTCGAGGCAAAAAGCAGAGCACCCAGATATCCACAAACAATCATCTGTGTTCGGCATATTCCTCTTCCCTGCTCATCCCCGCCAGTAACCCTCTCATATTATCATTCCCCCCTTTTCCGGCACCATGTATCCCTCTTCAAGTTTTATTCTATTATATCCCCACCACTGTGGACAATTTGCTTGTCCGGAACGAATGCCAAATGGTACGTGTCGTTTGCTTTTTCTCTGTAATCCCCCTCTTTGTGCATCCCTGAAAAGGATGGCCACTTTTGCGGGGATCCCCTTTTACACGCAAGGGATGACACCCAAGTGCCATCGAAATTCTGACTTGGTTGTTATGATGTCCTTTGGTCTGGAAGATAGGATTACTTTTCGTCTTTTAGGGAGAATATTAGTGTTCGATAGCGAAATATGTACCAGTGATATAACTCATGGACATGATATAAGAAATTAGTGTTTTACTGAATAATGTAATATTTATGTAAATAGGTTATGATGTAAATTTATATTCATTATAGAAATTGGTCCAAAATTCTTATTAGAAAGTGATCAAATTTTGTATTTGATATACAAAAGTCGTATACTGAATTTTTCTTCTTTTGAAAGAAACAATTTCCGTATCTGCTGATTTTTTTTGATTTTCTTTTCTCTTTTTATTTATTTAAATTATTGTTATATGAATTTTTTATGTCTTATTCTTTGCCCAATTGAAAAGATTACAGATAGATATGCAGAGTCAAAGCGGTAAAGTTAAGAAATTTTCAAATCTGATTAAAAAATAAATAAAAGCAGATAATTTTTCTTTTAATCACCTCCTCTCCTTTATTTCAGGAAATAAAATTGCTTGTTTTGCTATCCATTTATTCAACTATGAATCGGTCTTTTTCTCTTACCAGAAAATAATTTTATGAAAATATTATTTTAAGAATCCACGCCACACCATAGAAAATTATAGACGAAAGTTAATTTAAACCGATTTTTTTTCCTTTCCTTTCTATCTTGATAATTCTTCTACAATTCTCGTTTGAATTTCTTATAACTATAGTTACTTTTGAAATTGTATGGTCTCATGATTTTTCAACACAAAACATATATATCTGAGTATAAATATAAAACTTTAGAATAATCACAAAATGTTAAAAAACTTTAGTATAATCACAAAATGTTAAAAAAAAAGTTTAAAAAAAAATGGACATATTAAAATGAATATAACAGTATAAATCAATATATTTAAAGTGTTTGAGAAAAAAATGAACGCACCTCCCCGTTTAGTTTAATTTGAGTCTCCCTTTCTTTCTTATAAATTAGTTCCCTACCATAACTATGTTATTTATGGTTATTCTAATGCTACAGTTTTTTTTTTTTTTTTTTTAATATATAATTCTACCCTACTCGGAGTCATTTATACCAAAGGTGGGCAAATGTGTTTCCTCAAGGCCCCGCAGCTTTTTATTTAGGCTCCCGTCTATCGGCCATTTTGATTTCGTGAATGTAATGTTAATCCTATGGAATTTCTACTACCGTCCGCAAATCTTTACCATTTTATCTATTCGAATGAAAAATATAGCACCCGGTGGAGGGGGTATAGTTCAATGATAGAGTGTTCGTTTCACATGTGAAAGATCTGGGGTTCAAATCCCCTCTCCTCCAATGTCTGTACATTTTACTTTGAGATTAAGCTTTTATAGATTCAGCAACTCCTCTTGATATCTCCTCTAGCCTACCCGATGGCTACGAACAGTTGGGTATTAATTTTCATCCCCTATAGCCTATCCATTCCTTTAAATTTTTAAATTTAACTTATCAATAATTCTGTATTATCTTATTTGTGATCTTTAATCTCAATATTAATGATGAGGAGTTATCCCCCTTTTTAAGGATAGCAACTCCGTAAAAAAACTACACGCCTTAGACCTCCTTCTAAAGATGCACCCGAAAGGGAAAAAATAATGAAGGTGTATGTGGAATTACATTTCCCCCCAAATTTTTGAAAATATTTTAGAATATTTTCTTAAAGTCCTAAAAATCCCAAAATGATTCATTAAAATAGGGGTAAAAATATTTTTAAAAATAGGAGAAAAATTGTAATTCCGCAGTAATCTTCATTATTTTTTCTCTTTCGGATGCATTTTTTTTTTTTTTTTGCATTCAATCAGATAAAATAGTATAGATTTGAGAATGGTAGCAGAAATTCCATAGGATTAACATTACGTTGACAAAATCAAGATGGCCGGTAGACGGGAACCTTAAGTGCGGCTCCCGTCTACCGGCTCCCGTCTACAGTATGTATAAGTAATTTTTTTATTATTGCTTAGAAATTTGTTATACTGACTGAATAACTGTATTCATTTTCTTTTTTCTTGTTATTCAGATTTTATGTTATGTTCCTAATTATTTTTCTATTTTTATTATAAATAAATCCACGGGGATTTACGTACTACAAATGCCATATGTGCAACGTCACATCAGCGTGCGCTGTATAGTTGTGTAACTTTGAAGAGAGGGGAGGTAGTCACATATTTCAGTGACAGCGAAGACTACGAACGCCCTTACGATTTTTACGCCAAATTTCTGAGATTTGGCCAAAGGTCTTTGTTAAATGTTATATTGTTTATTAATGAATTTTTGTTACCCTTTAATTTCATTATTAATATTTTTGCATAATTTCTTTTTAATTGTTGTATATTTCTTTCTCTTAATTATATTTTCTTATATATGTATACGTTGCACATCATTTAAGACTTGTGCATAAAATGCAATCATATTCATAAAATAAAATTTGATTTTGAGTATTAAATGCCGTGTAACTATGAAAATGAATGTAACTATGAATATTTTCTAATATATGAAAAACAGAAAAATCAGATCTTATTGACTTCATATCTGCCCACTCCTGTTATATAATTCTATGCTTTTATAGGAATTATCTTCTATTTTCAATATTTTACAGAAATAGCTTCCAAAAATAATAGTAATAATAATAATAATAATTGCCTCAATCACGATAACATACCTTCCTTAATTTGGAAGATCTTACGATTGTAGAAGTGGTGGGAGGTGTAATGTCAGGTTTTTATGGTATACAAATTTTTTTTATTTACTAGATAGTTACGAACACTTATGTTATGTGGTACCTGAGGGTAATATAGCTAATGTAAGTAATACTCTAGAAGTAATTCGCTATTTCAGTGTTAACCGAAGGATGACTCTACAGTTTTGAAAAAGAAGTTAAGAAGCAATAGAAATGCGCTGTATAGGATTTGTTGAATAATCTTTCCTGAGAACGAAGTTATCATTGTTTACATGGCTTCACAGGACAGTCGTTGTTATTTGGATATGGTAAGTTTGCCTTTTTTGGGAGGTGATCAAGGAATCCATGAAATGTGATACCCTGTTGATTCTGTGAGAGTTTCAATGCTCTTCAATACTGTGTAATCTCACATCTTTCTGGGAGTTAATACAAGAATCGCAGTGTTTTCGGAAGCCTGAAGCTGTAGAGTTATGCGACCACTGATGACTGTATTACCTTCACTAGCGGCTGCAATATTTACATACGAACTTTCTTTTATTTCAAATGTTTATTACATTTAACATTATGAATATTCTGCTCCTTCCCGTGATATTCTTCTTCTATTTTTTATGACTGAATAACATGCCACCAAGGGCACAAAATTAGGGATGTGACATTGGATTATTCGCTGTTTTTCCTTATCTAACCTCTAGGACTTTTTGTAATTTGAATTATATACAATCACAATTACTTGCCAAATAAATGAAACGTGATTAAGTAAATTAGAGAAAGATAAGAAGTATATCGAACTGAATTATAGATAGTGAAATATAAGTGAAATAGAATTGAAAGGGAAAAGAAGGGAGATAGAGGATATCTACAAACTAAAAGAGGATGTAGATTAGAGTGAGTCATCGTAATTAATTGTTCATATCGAAAGTAATTGGAAGTTATTCCTGAACAGAATAATAGAAGTCGAATCTATTGTAATCGAGAAGTGTTTGGATTGGAATTAGGTGATTTGGTAAGCTAAGACATTATTATTTAAACATAAGATAGGATTAACTGAATTAAAAAGAATTCGAGAAAGAACGACCTCTTTCATATTCTTAGTTAGATAATAAACCATATTGTCTTTCTCTTACGTATCTTCAATCGAACTTATTGACAGTTTAATTAGACTTTAAAGTGATTGTAGAGTTAAATAATGAAGGAAATAATGTTACAGGGGAAACTGAAGTCAAAAGAATATAAACTTAGTTTCTCTTCTTAATTACATTCGACTCACTTCACATAGAAATAAAATTCTGTCCATGAAAATAACAATATCGTGGTTTTTTTTTGGTCATTGCTCTTTTTGTTTAAGTGAAACAACACTTGATGGAAATGGACTGATGGAGAAAAATAAGAATGGGGTCCCATTAAACTGCAAAAACTAGGTGTTTTACAAAACATTATTATTGAATTATTTATTTTAATTATTAAAAGTGAAAACTAATTTTAAAACAAATTTAAAGAGGAAAACGGTATTTATAGACATATGTTTTTAATTTTATTCCCGTCTTAATTTAAACTGGTAATAATGGTGGCCGTATTATCGTCAGATGCCTTAATAAAAAATAAAGAAAGAAAAAATAATATTCTAGAAATCCAAAGTTTACTGACAACTCCCTTAAATACTATTAGAACAGGCAACAAAATTAGACCCCAGCCTCCCAAACTATTCCTCAGTTTCTATTTCCTAACTAACTCCGTCCAGAGTACAGAACCAACAACTATCTAAACTAACTTCCCACAAAGCGTTGTCGAGATGGGACTCACCAAGTTAAGTGCGATACCAGAACTAGAACTCTAATGCGGTGACAGCGCAAGGCCGGGGTACTTCGGATGCAAATCAGTATGATTAGCATGTCGCCAGGAAAGGGGAAACGATCAAACTCATCACTGGGGGTCTCTCCACACCCCAGTGTACCCCCTTCTCCCCAGTATTAGGTTACGAGAGTCCTCTCCAACTGGTGAGGTTATCCGGTGGATAATTATCCGCCATCAACGCTATCAATTATCCGAATTTGGCGAATTTCTGTGTGCTTGTGTTGGGAAGGGGAGGGGGTCAGTTTAACTTCGGGTGGGGAGTATAAATCATTGAGGGGGTTGAAGAGGGTTGTGAGTTGGATTTGTGATGTGTCGCAGTGATTGAGAAGCGGGGAGGGTGGTATTATTCAGATTAGAATAGATGGAGGAGAGTGTTTGTGGATGAATGTGGATGTGTATTTATATGTATTTATCAGCTGGTTGTAAAAATAATGATAAAGTTATTGCATTTTAAATGTCGTTTACAGAGCTATAGATATGGTTTTTTTCTTTATATATTGTATTTAAGGAACCACATACCTTAAAGTTTTAAATCTTGTATTGGATGTTTGTGATATGACTTTTAATTTGTTATTATTATTGCTTTTTTTTTTTTTTTTAAAAAAAAATGGCTGCTTAATTTCAAACTATTACAATGATTCCTCCCCTTCCTTTTCTGATCTTAAACTTATTAAATTATTATTTAATTATTTCAATGTAGCCTTTTGATTCTTCTTGGGTTAGTGATTGATAATTATAAAAATAAAGAAAAGATAAATATTTACGTATAAAGGTACTGGTGTAATTTCTTGTAGTTTTTATTTTTATAATATATCAACTATAAAATACATATTTTCCAACATTTATACAAAAAAAAAATATATAAAAAAATAAATATAATTATCTGCTCAATAGTACGGTTTGAGAAAGTATAAGATATTAAACACTTGATATTGATAACAAAGCAATTTTATTCTCGTACATTCATCTCTCTGCCATAAAATCTTCTCATTTTTTTTCTCTCTCTCTCTTTGCATATATATAAATCCGACTTTCCATTTTTATGCGCCTTTTTTCCCCTTCAGGGCTTACCTTCTTTAACTGCTTCCCTCGATACCCTAGTGATCTTTTTAATTATTGTGAGGATTAATATCTTTGATAAACTGGGATACATACCCTGGAATATCCGACAACGATCCTTCTCTATTTTTAATTCTTTTTTTCGTCAACTAATTTTTTCTTTTTTCTAAATTCTAGATTACAGATACACATATTTAACTCTTGTGCCTATAAACCCTTACTTTCGTTCACACTCACTCACATTTTAAGCGATAAATTGTAACACTACTCGTATTTGTATCGTATTTTTAATACTCTATTCCAATGTACGGTAAGCAAAAAGATTATATAAAAACCTTAAATGTTAAAAGTAACAAATACAGTATTATCTAGAAGCACCTCCCCCTCAATGTTAGTTGATTACGATTTATCATACGCACGTAAGAATACACTCTATGTTGGCCTGGTAGAATATGTACTTGCATCTAAATAAGTATTGATAAAGCAGTATTAAATATAATCTTACAGATTCAACTTTATAAATTTTAGCAAAGATGTTTTATTCAATAAGAAAATATTTTTCTGTACTGTTCACATTTATAACTATTAAATCGTAATTTTAACCCAAAAATATTTAACCAATGCTCAATTAGATGGGAAAAATGTGTCTTTGTTTATGAAAATAACTATAGTACGCTCTTGGTAATCTGGCATATTTATCACATTAAAA